GTTTTTGGCGAAACTTCAAAAATAAAGAGCGTACACTCAAAAAAAGATAATCCACCCCATTTTTGAAGAACTTCAACCCCTTTGAGGCACGTGAAGGGGTTGACTTATTGTACTCAAATTTTACCAGTTTCATTTTTTCAGTGAACCTAACGAAATTTTGAGCCCATGACTCTGAATTTCTTAAAAAAAAATTTTTATTCTATAACTAAGGACCACTCTAATGGTCATACAAGATACGCCCTCCAGTTCTGAAATAACAGAATGGTCACAATCCAAGTGAGTAATTATATCATAATAATTTTTAAAATATTTCAACCCCTATTAAGAAATAATTATTACTTATAAAATTATTTATAATTTAATTTAAAATATTTATAAATAGCTTTTTCTGTATCTTTTTTACTCAAGTGACTATAGTACATCGGAACATAGTTTAAGTATCCATATGGAAAAAAATAGTGTTTCATCGATTAGTGAAAATGAACCGAATAACCCGTAAAGCATTTCATTAATAATTTACTTATGTATTCAATAAAAACTTCTTGTTGTGAATAAATTATTAACTACAAATGTGATACTCATAACACTTTAACGTTTAATAAGCGGTAGCATTTAAAATAATATCATATTATAATCTTATGATATTTTATTATAATTACATATTCATTTTATTTTATATTATGAGAGCTTTATCGCCTTTATCAATGAAAATAATATGTAACGCATAGCACAACAGTCAATAGTAGAATGATGTGCTGCTCCAAAATAATATTAGGCGGCCGTACAGGTGTACGCGTGCTATATGGAATGAAGGACAGGGGGTGATTGAAGAGTTCGGTTGTAAAACATCTAAGAGCGCATTCTCTCGGTCATATCATTGTTTCGTTTGCCGGTATAGCGTCCACTTAAGTGACCCCCCCAATCCACAATTCTATGATAGTTTATATATATATATATATATATATTGTTACTTTAATATATAACTTCTTGTCTTATAATTCTTATTATTTTATTTAGTGTAAGTACCATCCTTTTATATACAGGCCACTCCCTATTTCTTTCTCCGGCATAATTAGACAACCCAACCGGACGTTATCTAACCCGCAAATTATAACCGGGCGTTCCGTTCAAACAATAGTAGTAGTATATAAATAGCGGGTACGGGCCCTCAAAGGTGCCGACAAATGACGTCATGTATTGTTCTCGGGATAACAATGGGTGCACAGGTGTGATGCATTCCATCATGGTGACGTCACGCCTGACCTACCGTAACCTCCCGGCCCTGGCGCCCGTGGGGACTGCATCCAGGTGCAGCTCGTGACGTCATCCCCCTAGTTGACGACGTCACATCATTGAACCCTGACCTAAAGTAAGCCGCTATGACGTCTACCTAAACTTTGATATTAGGGTAAGCCCGCTCTATGGTGGGCGGCCCTAGCCGACGTCAGAATTCAACGCTGACCAAAGGTAAGTCCTATGACGTCATACCCGAACCTACTACAGCTGGCCCGTTACACAAACACAATCCCTATGACGACGTCACGCTAACGTAACTCTGTGCTATGAAAATGTGAGCCCTAGATGCCCTATCACGTCGTGATTGTGTCGTGCGCAATGACGCTTGTGCCCGACCGGTGCGAACGCGCCCTAACTCCACTGTCGGATCCATACGTGTCCTAACAAGTTTTATCATGTTTATTTTTTTTTTTACCACACTAATGTATTTATTGATGAATCATCATGATTCAACAACATTCCCTTGTTGTTAACGTCGTATACGACCGTTAGAAATCTCACTATTTAGTGATAGTGTGTAGTTTCATCAGTAGTATTGTTCTACGACACTTACGAGATGGATCTCTTGGAACGAATTAACATCGAGCTAGATACGATTGTCGATAACAACCCCACGGTAGAAATTTATCATCGACTGGCCGACTTGCGAGGAAATTATTCCCAGTTGCTCTTATTGTCCGATAAATGTGGACGTCAAAGCGCCAATTGGCATTATGTTGGGTGTTTTTGGTCATCGAATTCGAACGAAATACGAATCAATGGACCACCAAATTTTATGTGTAGGATTGTGAGATGCCTGTACATAAAGTTATTCGAACGTCTTCAGAACATCAAATATGAATTTATGGTTAATGGTACGGTACAGAAAATTGACGATCAGTTTATCTAAGTAAATACAAATCTAAATGTCAATAAAAAAATAAATAGTTTATCGTCGTTATTTATTATTACATTATGTCTATATATACATATATATTTTTTTTTAATTTTATTTTGTATCCTACTGATTTTTATATTTACAATTTGCGCACTTCTCCGGTGAGTGCATTGTATTCCATTTGACAGTCGTGTATGATGACGCAGTACAGCGAAGTTTTAGTTGGAAATTGCTCTGCACATTCAAAGTCAATACGTAGATCCACTGTGGACGACTTGACGGTATCATTTTGTTTTGAACAATCTATGACGAATATAGGTCCGATTTTTTTGTAGCTGATTCGATCCAAAAAAGGGTATGGGTTCATCTCTCCATAGTACATTGTTTGAAATTGTGCGTACGAATTATAAAATGTCGAGAATTTGCCTTTGTCAAAATCTGCATTTTGGTTTTCGTACGGGTACTCGTCAGCGTTCAAGTATGCCTTGATGTTACGCAGGAAACAATGATTAATTTCACCGTGTACCCGTTTATTGGCATCTGTGACCATGGCTACGAGTAAGTACCTAGGTTTTTCAACACCCTAGAACGTACGCACTGGCCATGTATGAGTGGTGGTTTGTGGTACAAGGGGGTATACAACAGTGTTCCAATGTTGAAACTCTAACGGTAACCATTTTTTGCTGTCGAGTATGCGCATCAGACCCAATTCCATTTTCACATTTGGTTCAAAGTATTTCACGACCCATTTAATTTTTGTGATATTCACTTTGGTTTGTCTGATCAACGCAATATTTTCTACGGTTAACACCGAAGCTTTTTCTGCTTCGTCTTTTGCCGGTACCAATACTACGGCACAGTGGTCGGCATTCGATCGGATGAGTATGAGTGTTTGCTTACAGTTGATCAGTAAACGCCGATACCGTTCGAAAAATCCCATACACATTGACAACGGACAATGAGCTACAAATTCGGAATGGTCCATAAAGTTTCCATCATCGTATAATTTATTCACGTTTTTTCACCCGGCTGGGTGTAACCGTACAATATCGTTGGGCGTGAACGGACAATATCCTTTCATAGTCGTAGTCACACCAACGTTTTTTACTTTATCAATTTTTATTGTTGATCTCAAAACGAATTTCATCAAAAAGATTCATCATACAGTTTTGATTCATTACAATGTTACCAACTGCTCCTGTGGGTTTTGCAATATTCCCCTCTATTTGCAAGTAACTTTCACACGGTATGGTGAATTTTTCTTTGTTGCACAATTCAATGCGAATCTCATCGTTGTTTCCGTACGAGTTGTTGTAGCTTTGGTGTTCCAGGTAATAATCCCGTTTCACGTTATCGTCTTGAGAGGATTTTTCCAAAACTTGTAGATACTCTGTCATTGTTGACGACGTGGCAGCCCAGTGATTTTAGATATGCGATATTATCTTTCGTAAGTTTCCTCGGCGTCACACGGTCTGTTCGATTCACAGTCCAAGACCGTTTGATGGAACCACCACCGCAACGTATCGACTTGGGCTTTACTGTTGTTGATGATGATGATATGGTTGTACGATTGTTGTTAAAAATCAACGGCATGTTACAACCATTCGCTACCCGGTGTGTTCAGAAAGTGAGAGATGTATCTATTTATGTCTAATGTGCAAGCGTACGGATAATTCTTCGACTTTGAGATTTATTTGGTATCCTTCTTGATTACATAGAACGATTCGTACCGTACAAGACGAAATCAACCTACGTCATGCATACGACGAATACGTGTGTTGTGATATGAAATTTAACGAGTTCAAAGAGTTTTGCAATCAGTGTGGGAAAAACGATAAATACGGGTTCGCAGTGATATGTACCGATTTTGATCGTGATAGTGGTCGATATAGGTACAGGTTTGACACGTACGTTACAATATGAACACCGTCGCCGACAAGGAACGATGTTCGATGGAACTATTGGACCAAGCCCGGGACAATGTCAATAATTTTTATTGGACAGGCCATATTGGATATAAGTAAATGTATTATGTACAAGTTCCATTACGAGGTTATGATGCCGTTGTACGGACCCGAGCGACTCCTACTCTGTTACATGGACACCGATAGTTTCATTTACCTGATAACGACCAACTGTTTCCACGATGATTTGAAAAAGTACTTTTTCGAATATTTCTATACGTGCATGCACGCGCGTTTGGTCACCCTACCCGCAGGCGCTGACAAACATCGATTCCCTGAAATAACAGTTTGACGGTGACCCTGATTCATACTACAATGAACATTCAAACCAGTACTATCGACAAACCGCATACAAATGACATGATACAACTATTGAAAAATTAATACATTAGTTAAACGTGTGTATGGCCAACTCTATAATCAACTATTCAGTTCAATGTACTCTTACTATTGGAGTAAACACTACTGAACTGTTAACAGATTATATTATCAATGGTGTGTAAAAATTTAACTTCAATACATAAGTTTTTGTTTTTCTTCTTAAAATCTACTCTAAAGTATTGCTATTGTGATTTTTGTTTTTAAATATTCCACCAATTTGAAAAACTATCAATCTTCTAATATTAATCTACAGTATAATTTACATTTGTCATAAACTACTATTAGATTCTATACTATCGGAGTAATAATGTAAACACAAAAGATTGTAAACGAACTATATAATTTTAATTCAATTTAATTTGTTTTACATGAATCATTAGAAAAAAATATAAACAGATTTTGTTGATTATANCAATTTTAATTCAATTTAATTTGTTGTACATGAATCATTAGAAAAAAATATAAACAGATTTTGTTGATTATAAAAGAAAGTAAAGTTAATACATTAAAAAAATTTTATTGAAAATCAAATTAATAAGCATTTTCCGTTTTTCCTCTGTAACACAGAGACATTTTGGTGTCGCCGTCGTTGTACGTTTTAATTTCATCGTCCGTCAACTGTATTCTGGGGACAAAAACTTGTCCGTGACACCACCACAATACCATTTTTCGTTGTCAAATTTTTCAATGAAACCATTCGATAGACATGATTCTCTACCAGGTCAGACATTTTAATGTATTCCATGCCTTTGGCTTGATTATTCATTTTTTGTTTTAATTGTTCCAATTTCTACACACCAAAATTAATAGTGAGTAAACTATATATATATATATGGTGAATGTCGTATTAATGGTGTATAACTCGACACTGATATGTACATTTCTAACAATAATTACTACCATCAGCCACAGCATCACATAGAGGAGGATACCGCGTAATACAAGTTCTCCAAAAATTGCACGTAACTCGAAAACGGATGCAGCTAGTGCTATGAATTTTTTTTTTTTTCGTCACCTCCATCCGCTTGCTACGAGACCATTAATCTGATATACATATCGGTATGCTCTCATAGCATACTACCCCTCCCCTCTCTCCATTTGTTTATGTTTAAGATAAATTACTAGTCTACAATACAGTCGATGCACTCCTACAGCTATGTGACTTCTCTAACCACTTATAAACTGAGTTGTTTTTTTTTTTTTTTAATAATACAGTTGTTTACAAACTATTCGTCATCATATATCGTAGAAATCATTGAGTGTGTGGCGGAGCGTATCACACACACACACATATATGTTATACACAAGACGATAATCTTTAACCTTTACAACATAATAAATACTAACACATTCACCCGCTAAAAATGTGACAAACGCCTGATTGTTACTACATTGTTGCCATTAGATTATTTAATAAGGAAATAAATACATTTTTTTTTTAAGTTGGTTAAAACGAGTACACACACATACCATTAATACAACATATTTACATATTTATTTAACATTTTTCAACATAATACTTTAAAATATTTACAAAACTATATATACAACACTTAATTTACACTGACCATGTAAATATTTGTTCATCACAATATTTAAATATACAGTGAGGTGGAAAGTGTAAAATTAACTCTTTGGTAATTTCATTTTGAATGATTAAAATTATTGTAAACTTATAAGTACATTTATAACTGAATAGTGGTGGTTAGATAATAACTTACTTTGGTTCAATACACGAAAACAGAAATATACTTTAAAAAGACACTGGATCGGGTTTTTGAATATATTTAATGACCTAAAAATTCGTATTTGTATTACTTAAAATATTATAATTTTAGTTATATATTGATAATATACTTATTATAAATATTTCTAATTATAGTAAACAAATTTTATTTATGAAAAAACTTTGTGAAATTTACCAGTATTATCGATTTTTAAAAATAAATAAATACATTGAAGGGATAAGACATTATGACAATTTAAAAATTATACTTACAATTAAATGACTGTTGAAAATACACAAGAATGGCCGTGAAAAACAGTAGTAGTATATGAAAAAACACTGTAAAAACACCAAAAAGTGAATGAACAGATAATGGGTTATTTCTACAATTATATAGTTAGCCAAAAGTAAGGTTTTAGTTGTGAATATATAATAAATAAAATTGGGTGTGTTGATTAATTAATTTGAATTTTTGAGCACTTGAATAAATTTAATTATCTTACTTTCGGTTACTATAATTCAGTTTGTTCAATATTATTGGGGTCGTGGAGTCCGAAGGTTTTAGAGAATGACAATACAATTTAATAAAAGGGTTATGATAAATATTGAGATTTATTGTGTGTATCAAATTTTATAAACTTTGGTGAATCATTTGAATAGTCTCCGGTTTAAAGGCACGAGCTTAAGTCGGCAACTATGAAACGTAATAAGAAAATGCGTAGGTACGATCTTTGGTCAAGCACTTCGAACGCATTTAATAATTCTCATGAAAAACCAGTTAATAAATTTAGTATGTGTAAAGATAAATTAATTACTATTGTTTTGTCATTTTCTTCTCGGATTAAATAATTCCAAATTATTGGAATTAAAATGTATCACCTACTTTATAATGTTTTTGTGAAATTGAAATGAATAAGACTGACAAGTTTTTCTTTCTGAATGTTTGAGAGATTGGTGGTCTATTGCTTCATTTGATTCTAGGCTTGAGAAGTGGAATGTCCGTATTTTATAGCTTTTTACGGCTTTTTATATGAAATCTATGATCTATATATGTCACCAAAATGTAGGAATTGACCACCAGGGCTCTCATCTTTATTGAAACGAAAATTATAAGCAGGGATAATATATTACATTGGTTGTGGTACATATGATTTTTGTTAGGGATACTGTTACTTAATACATTGTCTTTGTAGATTAATTTACAGTGTTTACATTTATGATACAAATATTAATTTTAAACTGAACAAGTACATACATTGTATTAATTACATCAGTGATTATGTTATGATATCAATTTAAGATAATTATTTTGTTTTATGATAAACATTGCGAATAATATTAAATTTGAGCGATGAACGGTATCACAACAGTTATATAGTAAAATTTATATTTTTAAGCACAATGAATTTAATTGTTTCGGATAAAAGTCCCTATGAATTCAATATCTTACTAGTGGGGATCAATAAATTTATTACATAGATTTACAATGTTGTAATGTAAAACGTAATTTAACGTTAAAAATGTATAGAATATTTACTGGATATAATGGTTTAGGCGTGAAAAAAATAAAGGCGACTTTAGTAATATTTTTGTTGATTTTCTTTTAAGTTGGAAAAAAAGTATATATATATACATAATTCGGAACACAATAAAACTGATAAAGTCACACGTGTGTGTTTTTTTTTTTGGTATATACGAACGCTTGTAAATACAACAACTCTCTTAGATTATGAAAATTATGAATGTAGTAGTATAATACATTTTTTACTAAATCGAAAATTGCTATTTTTATTTATTACCCGCCGTACCTTTTATATGGTTTCATATAACACACAAGATACAATATTAAAAATGTTCATTTATTTATTTCAAATTACAATAATATATAAGAATGACAGTGAGTGTATTATTTATATGAAAATCAAAATAACAAATAATAGTAGTCTTATTTCGTTATTTTATTATTTTGGATAAATAACTGACCCTTACATAACAATATATGTGTACAGCTAGGAGACCAACGCACATGTTCTACCCATGGGTCGTCTTCATCATCCCAATCTTTCAAACCTTGACTGCAGCAGTAACATAACATTTGATCATTTTGTCCATTACCTAAAAATTATATACACTTATAAAAAAAGTATTTGAATAAATGTACGAATCATAAAAATACATTTAATAATATATAGTCACATACAGTGCTCGAATTGGTGGGGTGCGCAGGGGGACGTAGCTCCTCTACTTTTTTTTAAATTTTTTTGCGCACCCCAACTACTTTTTTTTATTATGACGGGAGGACGGTGGAAAATACCACCTCTTTTTTTTTTTAATATTAGTATGATAATGAAATATGATTTATTAGTAAATACTAAATAAAGTAATGAGTAAAAAAAAAAAAAAAAGTCTTCAAAATGCTAAGGACGCAGTTTTCATATTGTTAAGTTGAGCTCTCCTACTTATTTTTGGCCAATTCGAGCACTGGTCACATACCTATGTATAAAAATCCAGCATCACAAAGTGTTGATATTTTTGATTCCAATTTTTCGGACAGTTTTCAAAAGTCTTTAAACGAGTGTTATAATCGGCAAACTCTTTGTGTTTATAGAGTTTAATTCTAGGCTGCTGGTCATTAGACGTCGAACAGTAAAATCCATAAACATCATATCCTGAACAAGAAGAATTGAAAAGTAATTTCACGTAGATAGTATCGCACCGTAACATACAGTTTTAATTTCTTACCTGAATTTTCATTGAGACGATTTTCATACGCCTTATACGTTTCATTACCATCGATACTAAACGTATAACCGAACAACAGCGTAAGTCATCAACTTTAAAGAACCAAAAAAATAGGTTAAAATTGAAAATTTGGACTAATTATTTTTAACATTTACAGCGAGAGATGAGATTGAGCGTTCACAGACACACAAAAAAAACACATAGTGAAATTAATACCTTCTCAGTTTCGCATCAAAGCTAAAAAAGTGTCGGGCGCTAAATATACGAAAAATATGGCACAAAGCAATAATGCTTTTTTTCACAATAATATTAGTGTTTTTCAGTTTTTTTAAACTATATTTATTTTTCACTTTTTATTTGTTTTTTATGACATCTCTGTTACAGTCACGGAGTGTTTATTATTAATTATCACTAGCAATGGATATAATTTCTGTATTGCCAGTTAGTGTGTTTATAAACTCACAACAATGTGTCTTATTACCATTGATAATAAAGGCTACATTTCACTGAATGAGCCAGAATGTTCATTATTTTGGACTTTTTATAATAAATTTGATGGTATTTTCAAAGGCAAGAAGTAATCAACGACGCTACCATTATTTCTTTATTTATCGCTGTAAAATAATAAAATTGGACTCTAGGTCTCATAGTGCCTTTCAATTCTCTACCTAAACTATAAATTAATTAATTTATATAAATTAAGGGTCGGGTGCTTTCTGCTACACTTAAAAGGCGAACAACGAGACGACATATTTTGATTACACAGGATTTTATTACATATATATACAAATTACTAGATACTATACTTTATTAATACATTAATTAAGACATAAATATCACCCAACCATCAGCCAAACATACCACAACTTGTTGTAGAAGTACACATACGTACTGACATAGGTACCGATAGTGCCGCACATGGCTAATATGACTGTTGTTGGTCAAGCGGTGAGAGAATTGGCTGATATATATAATCACTTGATATTTAAAATATAATTTGCGTTAATTATTAATAAAATTTCTTCAAAGAGGTACGCTGTATTTGACCTCAAATTTTTTGTGAGAGGCCCATAAAATTTAATGTAAAAATGACAACTTATTCTTTTAAATATGATAACATAAAATACATATATAAATATACTTAACAATTATTAATAATAAGATTTAAGAGGTTGATGAAGTTTAAAAATTGTATATTATATATAATATATTATATGTAATAATACTATTTAAAATAATATTTAACTAAAAATTTTTGTTTATTAATTTCAATCATTTTTTTAAACTAATTTATGTTTTATATAACAACATAATTAATTGTAATAATATTTATTGTAATAAATATATTTTTTTTATGTCCCTAAGTCAATGTTGGGATCTTATTAAATCTGGGTGGGCCTTAGCTGCCCTATTTCCGATTATAGCTACTTTTACGAATAATTGATTTGTTTAATAAATTTAATTAATTAAAACGATTTTAATTTAAAATTATAATTTAGGTAAATATGTTTATTTAATAGGCAAGTATAAGGGTTAAACCTCTCTGTTGTTATAAATGATCGTCCGTTCGATATCGGGTGGTTCCTATCATCCGTTGTGAACGAACGTTTGGATCTGTTGTAGGCAGGGGGACGGACTAATTCCCTCCTAGCCGATTGCCGTTTCCGATACCGACGGTCTGTTTGGGCATTGGCGGCGATGCCAGTATCGCTCGCCGCAATATCGGCACGGGGTTGGCGGTGCGTCCCCGTTAGTATAACCAGCTCGCTGTCGCACAGTAGGACCAAACGCTGATTTAGCCGGCAAAAAGTACCATTTTTAAATCAACTAATAAAAATTTATATTTTAGCAAATTTTTTTTATTATATCCTTATAAGGTCATGTACAAAAATTCAAGGCCAAAAATTGATACAGTAATGGTTGAGTGCTATTTAAATATCATAACACTATATTTTTTTGTTTTTTTTTCAAGGATTTTTATTATTTCTTCAATCATTTTTTCCTGCTTAATTAAAAACCTTAATTTTTTTTTTTATTTAAAATGTTTAAAAAGTCATCGGCTTTCAAATTTAGTAAAAAAAAATTTTTATTTCTTTTTTTTTTTTTAATTTTAATAATTTTTTACACACAAAAAAATGCAAGTACTCATTTTACATTGTTTTTAAAAATTACGCAATATTACAATTACACCAATACATACATGTTGTAGAAGAACTTTTAAGCTATAATTAAAAAAAAAAAAATTTTGCGTCAGATTGCATTTGAGCTGTGCACATAGAATTTTCCTATAATAAACGTGTATTTTCGTAAAAATTGTAATTTTAATAATTTCATTGGTTTTATCAATTTCTTATCGATATATATATATGACATCGATGTTGTTTTATTGTTTACGAATATATAATTATTATTATGCATTTATTAAATAAAGTAAAATGAATTTATATTTGTAATAATTGTTTTGTTATTTACAAATTTGGTAATTATATTTAGAAATTTAATTCTGATAAAGAATGATTTAATTCCATATCCTCCTAAATTTTACTATATTCAGCATCATCATTGTGTTGTATTAATAAAGTCCTTGTTTCCATTGTCAGTTCCTTTGAATAATAATTTGTTTGTCTATTCAAACTGGAAATGTAAGGATCAGATGATATAAGTAATATAAAAACAAAAAGTAATAGTAAAACAAAATAACAATAATTATTGACCATAGACTATTGTTCAAAAGTTATGTGTGTAGCCGGTAAAGTTACACATAGCTCGAATTGGCATCACCCCTCTCAGTGTAGTGACGACAATCGTGTCCGGCACTACCGGCACCTTGCGGGCACTACGTCGGTGTACGCGATTGAAGTCGTACCGCATCTTTTGAGTCTGATGACTCGTGGCCAGTGAGCTGGCGTGTTTTTAATTTGTTACATTGTTTTTTGGATGGTATTGGCCTGTTTAGGTGACAACCAACACTTTATATTACCAGTTACGTGCTATTACGCGAGTGCTCAACGGAAATAGAGCAGCGGAGGTTGACATTCCATACGCAAAAGGAACAATTAATTGAGAAGCGTTTTGGCAGTCAATTCAACGTTAATTGCACTATGGATGGCTGATGGCTGGGTGATGTTTCGTTTTTGTTTGTTTTTTTTTACTATTATTATTCTAATGTTAATATATTGATATATTGAATATGTATTAGTTTGTATGTATATTAGGGGGGTCCTAATTTTTCAACATTCAAAATACATATATCTCACCCCCCCATATTGCTCAATATGATGAGAAAGTAATTTGGGTAAAATTTTATCATGATAAACCACCCCCTTCACGTGCCTGTAAAGGGTTACAAATTTAAAGGGGAAAAAAGGGTAGTTTTTTAGTTTTTTTAAATTAACTTCAAACCTGATGACTGTAGCGTAAAAACGTATAACAACTTAATTATTGTTCATTAAATTTTGCATAAAAAATAATATAATCAAATTTTCCGTAAATTCATTATTTCCCGAAAAAAATTAATAAAACTGTAAAAAAAAATGTTCTCCCTAAATAGATTTTTTTATGGTTATTTAATTATTTAGAACAAATTATTAGAGATACGATAAAATGTTTCATATGAAAGTTGTACAAAATTTAACTTCCTAAAGAAAAATTATATTAATTATTCTTACAATTTATTATTTACTATTTTATTATACAAAATTAGCAAAATTTTAGCAAGAATTTCTTAGAATAAAAATGGAATTATTTTTCAGTATAAAGTTTTCTGATTTCTTTTTCAAATATTTAATTAATAATTTAAAATCACATTGATTATTTAAATACTAATGCATGTTACTATATTATATTACCATAATCTGAGACATCGAATACATTAGGGATGATTTGTTACAATCTGGATATTGAGACCTATAATTTTTAACAATTTGTAAAAGATATTGAGTTTGATTTTCATGTTTTGTAATTATTTTATTATATTCCTCTATAAGTTTGACACCTCTCTCTGCTGTATCATTTACAACTCTAATATTTTTAACTATTTCTAAGCCCTTATTGTAAGAATCATAAGTTGACCATGTTTCTGGACTGTATGTCAAAAACTGTTTATCAATATTAAATCGTTCAAAAAACTTGTTAGTGTTAGTCGATACTAAAAAACTTAAATCTTTTGAAATTAAATTTTTTATATCTTCTGGTGTAAGTGGTAATTGTTTTATTTTCACATTACTATTTTTTTTTGCTGTTAGAGATGTTGAAATTTTTTTTTTTTCAAATCATTCGGCACCTCATTGTCAAAAAATGCTATTGCTAGAATTTCTTCGTTTAAGTACCACAGATGACCACATATTTTTTTTAATGCAGTTTGGGCCACTTCATTATCATAATATGATGACGGATTTTTCAAAAAATTAAAATCTTGGTAGGGCGCTTTTATTGCTAAAGGTGCTGTAAACCAAGCTTTAATGTATAAGCGGATAAGAAATATACATATATCTCGTAATCCTTTTTCTTCATTTTTTGTTAATTTAAATTGTTTCCGAAATAAATAAATTTTGAAGGAGTATAAGGCCTTTGCCAACCACCTTGCATGATGTATAGCACCAAGAGTTTTGAATTTTATTTTCCTATGCTCGTCTCCTCCCAGAAAAATTAATGCAAGCTCTAAAAATTCCTTGTAGTCATCTCTACTATAATACTGTTCTAATTCATGAGAGCAAAACGTTTTTATATTGCTAATTACATCATTTAATTTAATTTTTACCTCATCGTCTTCAACTCCACAAGAAAAGTTGGTTAAATCCATTTTATTCCACTCAATTTGAAATCGTTTGAATAATTGTATTTCGGGCCTCGATGAATGATGTTTCATTTTTAATATTGAATCCCATATTTGATGCGGTGGTATCACAACAAAGAGCATTCACTTTTTCAGTAAGGTTCCACTCGAGAAGTAGTTGATAGACAGATGCTGCAATTTGTTCACCAGTTCCAGAATTTAGTTTTGGAACTCCAAGAAGCTGTTCAGTTCTATCAAAAGTCACAACAACTGGAAGTCTCTCTTGACGCATTAAATTGCTCGAGGGTAATAACTTACCATCCCAATGAATAATGACTGTATTTGATTCAGTATTAAAATTTTTTTTTATATGTTCAGCTACGTTCTGTCGTATATTTTGACGACGATTCTTAATTGAGGTACGATTAATTATAAGATTATGCACATCATGACCTAATGCTTCTGCGACAGCTATTAAAAGATGAACAGCATATCTGTCGCTAATCTTGCAATGATCAAGAACCGCAACAAATCAGTCTGTTATAAAATCAATTTTCCCTCGACCACTTATAACAATAGCCGAACTTGTTGATGGACCACAAAGTTTTTCGTCAAGCTCTATGTCAGATTCATTTTCA